AGTAGTTATTTATCACTAATCATATTACATGTTAGTATTTTATTTTTTTCTCATTAGATTTGGGTTATTAATTAATTTTTTTTCTTTTAATGCTATGAATTTTGTGGATCTCATCCTCCCTATATATAAGGAATTCCATTAAGTTTTGTCAAAAAATATACTATGAATAAGTTTTCAATTAATAAATTCACACAATTATACTTTTATTTTTTCACTTATTTTTATAGTTTTGTAATTTTATGGACATGCTTTGAGGTACTTTTGCCTGTATAGTTATTTGGTTATATGGTACGTTTAGTTTTGTATAACATGAGTACATTTGGATTTTAGTAGCATACATTTCTAGTATGTTTATGGTACATTTGAATTTTAAACATACTACAAAATTGATACGTTTATGATAAATTTGAGTTTTGATTCATGACATTTAATTGTGTTGAAGGGATTATTTTTATTACTGTATCAAAACAAAAATAAAGTCGCCCTTAATTGAAACTTAAGTATTAATTTTTTTTCTTGACATGCCGTTTACGGTAGGACAAGATTAAATATGAATTTCACAAAATTAATTTCCTAGATATTATAGGAAATTAGTTGTAGCTGGACAAATATGGGTGTATTAAAATTATTGGCATTTGGTGTAATTTCATATCCAAAAAAGGTTTAGTAAAATCTATTTGGTGCCACATTAATAGGAAGCATTTTAATCAAAATTCTAAAACACATAAATGTTTAAATTTACTTATTTTTTATTTTTTATTTTTTTTGAATTTGTTACATCCTAAATTAGAATTATGGAGAGGGGGAGATTCTGTAATTCCTAATTTTCGTTCTACAATACTAAGGAACTATTGAGAATAAATCTCACATTGGAAGCTTAAATACTTTTTACTTGTTATATATAGTCCCTACATTTAGCTTTCGTGCATTTATAACATGCATTTCGTTACATCTCAACCTTTATAATAATCACTTGCGTAGCCATACCAAAGGCTACGGTGGGCTGTAGCCCAAGGAGGGTTTGTGGCAATATATATATATTTTTGTGTATTGTCTAATATAATAGACAAAAAGAAGTGCAAGAATAATTATTTTTAATGAAACTAGCACAATGAGTATTTAGCACAATTAAAAATATAAAAATTACCATGGAAATTGTGATGTTATTTTGTTCATGATTCAATCGACTTTATATTAGTTTCAATCAATTTTTATTAAGATTGCCTTTACTTCTACTTTAATTTTTTTTTTTTTTGTAAGTTTTCCATCTTCTTCTTGTGTTTTCATCTAAATACATGTGATATTTGTTGATTCATTGTAATTTTTGCAGTTTGCAATCGCGAAGGTTATTGAGTTTATGCCTAACAAATTTTAAGTATACTAGAAGTTAAACTTAAACTTTTGCATACAATACGTATGTAGCAAAAAAAAAACTTTTGATTTTAGGATATCTTACAACTCAAGACATGACACATCAAATTTAATATTAACTCCAAGTTAACATCCTCAAGTCTGAATAAAAACGAAACAATAAACAAAAGGTCCAAAACTTATAAACGCCTTGATGCCAGCTGACCTTTACGGCTGATAAGTTTTTGATTTTCTGTTTTGATTATTTTTAAATTTATAGACTTAATGTCATTAAATCAGAGTTAACTATTAAGTTTGACGTGTCATGTTTTAAGTCATTAGATTATAAAAATGATTGAATTTAATGCAACATAATACGAATGAGTCAGATTTAAATAAACTAATCTTATACTGTTATAACTTTCATCTGCTTAGTAATTCGGCTGAGGAGGGTCACAATATGTGTGATTTCATCATAGCACTATCCGTCCTCATTAACAGTTATTCATATTTAATTAACTAAAAAGGATAGAAGAGACTACATGATGAAAAAATATATATATTGTCAAGACGGCTACAAATAAAACAAGTCACTTAATGATAAACTACATATTCTTCAAGAAAATGATCTCGCACATCATTTTATTTCTATACACCTTTCTTTTTTTTGTCGAACTTGAACAATTAAAGAAAAAAATAGTTCCCGTGATTTTTTCTGAGAAAAAAAGTACAATATTAATTAAATAGATTGAAGTGTACAAAATAAGAGGATAGCGATGCATACATGGGTCTCGATAAATAGACAAAGCATAATAATCATAAATGAAAAATATGACCACAAAAATCTGAAAATACAAAATAATAATCACAAATGCTGCAATAATGTGAAATGTGAAAATAATGGGAGATCATGTAAAAGCTCTCAAAACAATTAATCGTGGAATATGAAAAACGCCTTGCTTTTTTATATAGACACTGTAAAGGACATCGGGGCTCCAAATCACCTCGTGATTCAAAACCACAGTTCAACGTTGGATCCAACAAACTCAAAGAACGTACCTGCAGTACTTGGATTTGGAAAGTGTTGGAATCTATTAGTTTATTTAGGAAATTAATTAGATATTTGATTTTGTGTTAGGTTTTTTTAATTTTATTTTATATATTTTTTAAATATATTTTATGCATTAGGGTTTTTTTAGGTCCATGCCAACTATTAGTTTAAGAATTAAGTTAATTAAAATGAAGCGCTCAGTTTGTAATCATTTCAGTATTCTTGTTTGTTTGTTTTCAGTTAAAAATATTTAATAGTTTTTGTTTGTTCGTCCGTTTTGGTACTTTAATTTTCAACTGAAAGTACTATATCAACCACACAAACGACCAAACCCACCTATCGCATATAGGGAGACTAGAAGATGATAAAAATTCACATAAAGCGAGACTGTAAAAACATAGACAACTCACAATGGTATTATACTTTCTCAATAGAGATACAATTGTATTTCATTGTACCATTGTGATCAACTATTGTTTGGGTTAATATTTGAACATTGGACTTAAATGAAGGAGAGCCCAAGGGTACCAAATTAAAGGGGACTTGCCCGAAGCCCAGCACCGAGCCCAATGGAAAATTGAAGCCTTCTCAGCCAAGTTACAAGCCACGTGCTTACCATTGAAGTGACAAGTGATGGAGACTAATCTACTACTAGCCAAAGAACACTTTTTAGTGGTATTACAAGTAAAAAGCTGATGACTCATTACCTTCCAGGTGCTTTCGGGCAAGAGCAAAAGTCACAGCAGTCGGGCTAATTTGCCTATAAAAAGAAGAAGAGGCCCCAAGGACAAGGGCACTCAACCAATGAAACAAATAAACATACAAATTCTGCTCGATTTGCATCCAAAAGTTGAAATCAACTCGGATTCAGTCATTTTTAGCGATAAGCTATCTCTTGTCTAAGTATAAAAGCTCTGCTATTTCCCTTAGTGGCGTAGTATCGATTCCCTTGTGTAAACTTATTTACCATCCATCCCTTTTTAGCATATAAACCCCTGTAAATTCAAAGAGAAGTGACTGCAAGAGGTTCAACCTTTCCAGACAAGGTGAAATCTTGCCCAAAGCTCTTTGTTTGCCTTTTGAATTTGTAGATCTATTACTTAATGCATTCTCCAGTATGTATTCAAGTTATTTCCATCAGTTTTCCTATTTTAAGAGTCCCATTTACATTTGGATCTGGTTAGTTTAATGGGTATGTTATCATTAAAACCAATCAAGAACTAAGTAAATGGCTTAAGGGGATTTGGACTCCCTTCACTCGAACATACAAGATCATGAACTAAAAGTCCTTGTTTACAAGGCAAGAAAAAGAACTTAATGTGGACTTAACTCATCCACAACAATCCTTTGATAACAAGAAGTTTGAAGTAACTTGGAGCGCAAGTAATCGACTTAAAACACATTTGTTCTACATCTGCTATATTGAGATAGCAATGGCACGCCTAGCACTTAGTTAGTTTTGATTGCGAGCCTCAAGGCCTACACCTAAGGCCCCACAAAGGCACATTTCAGAACTAACTTTGTTATTTTCTTGTAGCTTATCAACAAGCAAGAGCCTCGACTACACATCCAAAGTGCTAATCCCTTAGGGAGTTGTGCTGAGGTCCGATGAACCTTTTCCAGAGAAATCTTTGCTTGAACAACTATATGACTAAAGAAAATGTTAAAGAAACCATGTTTTCAGACCAAATCGTGATCGATGTACCATTTTACCTGGCAATAAACATTTTTCATTTTCTACTTTAGGTTTACAAAATTCTCAACTTCCCAATATTAATCTTTTTTCCTACAGCAGTACTACTATACCGTCAGCTTAAATCCTCATTTACGTACATTGTCGTCTATATATCTATCATTTTCCAAGTCAACTAAGATAAGCACAACCAATCATTTTACCTTCGAGACGTGGAGATGGCAAACCAGGGGATGCCATGTGGCATATATTTTGGCTTTGTGCACAGCTGGGTAATTTCAGTCTACACAAGCACTATAAATAACACTGTTAGTGGTGTTGATGCCGTACCTCGTACACATCAGTAGGGTTTCTTTTATCTTTTGACTGGGACTTGGATTCTCTGCCTTCCCATTTCGGTACCCTTCCCGTGCCCTCCCATTTCGGTACCCTTCCCGTGCCCTCCTGTTTTGTGTGGTCACGGTTAATTCATGTTAACATTTTATATTGTTTTTTATAAAAATAATAAGACAAAAAATAATAATAATATAAAATATTGACGTGGCTTAACCGTGACCACACAAACAGGAGGGCACGGGAAGGGCACCGAATTGGAAGGGCAGAGAATCCAAGTCCTTTTGACTGTCCTTGTTCTCAGATGTTTAGTACAGATGGTGCGTGGTCGAAGCACCCTTCAGTTCCTCGAAAAGAAGAGACTTAAATGCAAACCCTAATTTTTCTTTCAGATCACGACGATTTACGTCGAATCGAATCCATGATTTACCATAAAGAGATCCCTTGTGTTTGTACTCGTCAAGGATGATATTGCTATTCATTCTGCGTGCGTCAAGAAGACCATTATTCCAAAGTTTGATTATGTAAGTTCTAATTCAAATGTTGTTGTTTCCTTTTTGCTTCTAGGGGTATTTAGGGTTTAATTAGTATAAGAATACGTATGGAGGAATCATAATGTTTGTAAGATTTTGGATTTTGTGATTTGTAACATGATCCCTGATATAGATAACATATATAAACTGATGTAGGCAGTGAATGATTTGCTTAGGGAATGAGGGATAGAGAATTCAAGGGAGGATCTGAATGTGGTTGATGGAGCAGTGGTCGGGTTGCCGTCATTTCCACTATCAGAAGAACACCAATACTGTCCTCACTTGGCCACCTGCTCAATCTGTCAGGTGTGGGGTTTTAATACAAAGGTCTCGGTGTTAGTTAGAGTGGGGTAATTCTATATAAATGACTTGTTCTCAAGCCTTCTGGCCGATGTGGGACAAAGGAATTCTAACAAAAATTGCTTGAGAAGAATCACTTTCGACTTAAACCTTTTGATAGCCAAGCTGTTGAGCCAACTCCATTCCATTCTTAATTGCTAACAATTCAGCATGAAGAGCCAAAGAAACATTGGAAAGAAAGCATGTCGTTGCAGCCACAAAAGCGCCCTGCGAGTCACGAATCACCGTACCAGCTCCACCAACCTGAGCCTGCATTTTAGTAGCTTCATCCACATTCACTCTCACCCAGTCCTCCGCCACCTCCCCAGCCATCGAACCACTTTCATCCCCTTACCTAATCCTAGGCGTCCGCTACTGTGCCACGAGTGCAAGGTCTGCCACCGCCTGGAACTCCTACAACCATGCCACGACTCTTTGCGCCACAACTCCCGGGGCCTCTTGCTTCCTCTTCCAAATGCGATCATTCCTTCTCCTGCCAAATGTGCCAGACCACCATACAAATGAAGTCGAAAGCAAATTGATTAAGCATTATATATTTTTTATCGCTAATCATATTACATGCCAAAATAAACAAACATGATGGAGCCTTCACAAAGGTTGCTTAGGAGAAGTCTCAGCAGTCGGTAGAGCCTCAGAAAGAGAAGGCATCGGAGGGGGATCATTCGGAGCCTCAGTACTGGACAGAACCCTAAAAGGATGAGGCATCAGAGGTTGATCATTTGGAGCTTCATTACGCGGTACAGCCCCAGAAGACGAAGGCAATAAATGCCTTTGGAACAAACCCACAAATCTCTGATGATCAAGTAAAACCTGACCATCAGTTTCCTTCATCTGGTCAAGCTTCCTCTTCATGTTTGTAGCATAGTCATGTGCGAGCCGGTGCAACTGTTTATTCTCATGCTTGAGCCCTCTAATCTCCTGTTTGAGACTCATCACTTCGGCCGCCAATGATTCAACTTGGCGGGTTCGAGCAAATAGGCGTTGGGCCATATTAGACACAGAACCTGCACACTGAACACTGAGAGCCAGCGAATCCTTAACAGCTAACTCATCAGACCGTTTGGAAAGTAGTCTGTTATCTTTGGGAGTGAGAAGGTTCCTGGCCACCACCGCAGCGGTCATATCATTCTTCATCACGGAATCCCCAACGGTAAGAGAACCAGTAGGGGAGACGAAGGATGGGCGCCATATGTTGTCTGGAGAAGGCGGGGCTGCCTCTTCAACAAGGTTCAAGTCAAAACGACGGTCGGAGGGGCCAGACATTTTCAAAGGTGTTGAAGAGAGAAGAGGTCGGACAAATCAAGATCTTAGAAGTGCAAGAATGAAGCTTCTACTGGTGGAGATTCAAGTGTGCTTTGGAACTTAATGCCAGCCCCTATAAAAAGCTGCACTCGACGGAGCTTCAGACATCGAAGAGGCGCCCTGCTCAGAAATCGAAGAGGCGTTTGCTTTCTCAAAAGCTGGGCTGCTTAGAGATCACGAGGGTTGATCTCATAAAATCGAAGAGGTGTTTGCTTTCTCAAAAGTTGGGCTGCTCAAAGACCACGAAAGGCCGATCTCAGAAATCGAAGAGGCGCTCGCTTTCTCAAAAGCTATGGGCTCCTTAGAGACCACGAGGGCCGATCTCAGAAATCGAAGAGGCACCTACTTTTCCAGCCTTGTCAGCACCTGTCACACGCACACTCAGCTTTGCGGAAATTATGGGCATTCTGTCGAAGACTTTCTGGGGAAGTAGAAAACACATGAATCTTACTGTTCCAATCACCCACTTCCCACACGCAACAATAGCTCATGGGTACCACAGATAACTTTGCCAAAGTTCTCTGCCAAAGTTGAGCACGTGAAGCTTGCAGCTCCCACTACATCGCTCTGACCAAGAAGGGTAAAAGAATAGCAAAGAAACAGCACTAACAAAGTTTAGACCCATAAATTTTGAAGGTCTAGCTACCATATTATTACCCACAAGGGTAAAGGAACAGTACCACTGCTGGATAATTGGAAAGTCCCTGTGTGTCAACCTCTGTGCTTCGTGGCAAGGTAGACTAGCAAACATGCCCAACCTTTACTCACATTCGAGAAAACACTCCCAATAAGATTGCTTGCTCCAAAATCGAAGAGGCACCGTCCTCCGAATCTCGAGAGCCAGACTCCCAACATGACTACTTTCTCAAAAAAATCGAAGAGAGGGTAAAGGAACAGTACCATTGCTGGATAATTGGAAAGTCCCTGTGTGTCAACCTCTGTGCTTCGTGGCAAGGTAGACTAGCAAACATGCCCAACCTTTACTCACATTCGAGAAAACACTCCCAACAAGATTGCTTGCTCCAAAATCGAAGAGGCACCGCCCTCCGAATCTCGAGAGCCAGACTCCCAACATGATTACTTTCTCAAAAATCGAAGAGACACTGCTCCCCGAATCTCGAGAGCCAGACCCCCAGCATGATTGCTTTCTCAAAAATCGAAGAGGCATCGTTCTCCGAATCAATCGAAGAGGCGCTCGCTTTCTCAAAAGCTGGGCTGCTCAGAGACCACGAGGGCCGATCTCAGAAATCGAAGAGGCACCTACTTTTCTAGCCTTGTCAGCACCTGTCACACGCACACTCAGCTTTGCGGAAATTATGGGCATTCTGTCGAAGACTTCTGGTGAAGTAGAAAGCACATGAATCTTACTGTTCAATCACCCACTTCCCACACGCAACAATAGCTCATGGGTACCACAGATAACTTTGCCAAAGTTCTCTGCCAAAGTTGAGCACGTGAAGCTTGCAGCTCCCACTACATCGCTCTGACCAAGAAAGGTAAAAGAATAGCAAAGAAACAGCACTAACAAAGTTTAGACACATAAATTTTGAAGGTCTAGCTACCATATTATTACCCACAAGGGTAAAGGCAACAGTACCACTGCTGGATAATTGGAAAGTCCCTGTGTGTCAACCTCCGTGCTTCGTGGCAAGGTAGACTAGCAAACATGCCCAACCTTTACTCACATCCGAGAAAACACTCCCAACAAGATTGCTTACGCTCCAAAATCGAAGAGGCACCGCCCTCCGAATCTCGAGAGCCAGACTCCCAACATGATTACTTTCCTCAAAAATCGAAGAGACACACTGCTCCCCGAATCTCGAGAGCCAGACCCCCAGCATGATTGCTTTCTCAAAAATCGAAGAAGCATCGTTCTTCCGAATCTCGAGAGCCAGATACCACATACCACTTTTTCAAAGTGCTCTGACAGAGTTAAAACATGTGAAGCTGGCAGCTCCCACTACCGTGCTATGACCAAGCAGGGTAAAGGAATAGCATTACTACTTGTTGTTAGGGAGACTCCTATATATGTCGACCTCCATCCCCAACGGACAGGCAGACCTGCAAAAATGCTCAACCCTTCATCATATCTGAGAGGGCACTCCCAACGAAGCCTTTCGAAATATTCAGCTTTCTTTCCCCCCGATAATACCTCTGCAAACAAGCTATACTAGAGCAAGAATATCTCATATCATCAGGGTTAAAAAGCAAGAGTATCCCATATCATGCTTTTTTCCCTGTCTTTTCCTTTGGCCTTGTTTTTACCTGCAAGACAAGGAGAAAGAGAGCAATCAGTCAGCACTTGAAATCAAGCTCCCAGCCAGGAACTGACTGCCTGGAACCCCTTACCTGATTACTTACCTGGCATTGCTCTCGAGTACTCATCTTCAACATCTTATGTTTCCAGGGAAGATACCGCATCTGCTTGAGGAACAGATAGGGCAAGTGCGAAGGATACAAGGAAGCATGTGGAGACAAGCGTAACACAGCACACGTGCCGATACATTCCATTACTCTGTCAAAAGCAAAAGTATCCCATATCAGCAGGGTCGAACGTACTCTAGATTTGATGGACTTGTTTTGACCCTCAAATTCTTCAGTCGGCCTTATACTCTGGAGGAAACCAGAAAACCCTCCAGCTCAGTTCAAGAATAAGCCTGTGGAAAGTTACTTCTTCAAAAGCAAAAGTATCCCATATCATCTCTTCTCATTTTTCTTCTCTTTATCCTTCATGCTGCTGCAAGATGGGGAGAAGGTGAACAATCAGCCGGAGCTCTGATTGCTTACCTTGTCTGTCACCTCTTTCAGCAGATCCCCTAGCTCGGCGACTTGGGGGACTCCTACTACATGGTTTGTATCGCGCTTGACCAAGCCTGAAACTACAAGTAAGCTTCAAGTGAAATTGATACATTACCTTGTGCATCTCCACCAGTTAAAGATACCACCCCTGGATGGAGGAAGAGTACTTCCAGAGAAGCTGCCACATCTACCTATGAGACAGATAAGGCAAGTCAAGATGATACCACACTCCGATACTTAGAAGTTTCGTGATTACGAGATTATTCTCCCACAATATTTCCTAATGTCATTTGTACTCTAATGTCATTTGTACTAAATCATTCACTTGTACTCACTAAAGGAGAGCTTGAACCTATGTACTTGTGTAAACCCTTCACAATTAATGAGAACTCTTCTATTCCGTGGACGTAGCCAATCTGGGTGAACCACATACATCTTGTGTTTGCTTTCCTATCTCTATCCATTTATATACTTATCCACACTAATGACCGGAGCAATCTAGCGAAGATCACAAAAAGCGACCGTTTTCGCTACCTAGGATCTATCTTGCAAGAGAACGGAGAATTAGATGGAGATCTCAACCATAGAATACGAGCTGGATGGATGAAGTGTAAGAGTGCATCCGGCGTGTTGTGTGACCGTCGTAGGCCACTGAAGCTCAAGGGAAAATTTTATAGGACGGCAATAAGGCCAGCGATGTTGTATGACACAGAATGTTGGGCGGTGAAACATCAACACGTATACAAAATGGGTGTAGCGGAGATGAGGATGCTTCGTGGGATGTGTGGGCACACGAGAAAGGATAAGATTGAGAATGAGGATATCCGAGGTAAAGTAGGAGTAGCCGAAATTGAAGGAAAGATGAGAGAAAATCGGTTCCGGTGTTTTGGACATGTGCAAAGAAGGCCGACTGACGTTCTGGTTCGAAGATGTGACTACGGGACAGAGGTTCAGGGCCGAAGGGGTAGATGAAGACCTAGGAAAACTTTGGAAGAGACTCTAAGAAAAGGCTTAGAGTACTTGGATCTAACGGAGGACATGACACAAAACCGAGCGCAATGGCGTTCTAGGATTCATATAGCCGACCCCACTTAGTGGGAAAAGGCTTTGTTGTTGTTGTTGTTGTTGTAATCATATTACATGCCAGTATTTTATTTTATTTCTCACTTAATTTTGGTTATTAATCAATTTGTTGTTTTAATGCTATGAATTTTGTGGAACTACAAAAAACAAGGGGCCTTTTGTGACAGAACGGACATGTCTCAAAAAGTAATTAAAGTGTTGTAAAAAGCTTTTGGCGACGGCCTTGCGACAGTAATGGATGCGTCGCAACAAATCTAGGTCGCAATGTTTTAACAACTATTTACGACGCTACCTAAAGCATCGTTAATAATAGATCCAGGTGTAAAAAAAATTCTGGCGTCATATTTGATGCCATTTACAAATTATTCTAATTAATTTTACAAACTAGAAACATATTATTATTGAAAATTTTGCATTGTATTATCATATACAAGTACGACAAAACTACGAAAGCAACACTATAATTTTACTTAAAGTTAGCTGAATGGTCGTATACATTATACACCAATAAGTGTGAGGCTCGTGGTCGTGATTCTGTGCCTGAACCTTAGGAATAGTTAACAATCCATTTTCTTGCCATAGTGAAACATATTTGACATCAGAATCAACAAAATGACAAGAAGAAATAGCAAACTACAAGCTAGTTTCGTGATGGTTCTGTAGCACGAGCACACCAAGATTATACATGAATCAAAGTTTTGACACTCCTAGTTTTGTGATGATTCTGTAGCATGAGCACACCAAGATTATGAAGAAACTTGTAGAATCCTATATAAATAAGTTGAAGTCTAGCAAGTTGACTGATGTGGAAGCTGCTGGTCTCACCTTTATATAATGACACTTTGCCTCAAGTATTTGTCGACTCTCTATTTGTTCCGCTTGATCCGTCTCCTGTTACCATACAGAGTTGGCGAGCTTTAACATCAGCCGTACTTTGCTCCATGAGTAAAGATAGCTCAATATGGTTGTAGCTTGCTTTGTAACATGATAAGCTTGGGCCATTATTTGCAATCTTACAATCCCCTTCAAACGCCGTAAATTTTCTAGCCTGCAATGGGTGAAAGAAAGTCTTAGGAACACAAAAAACAGCATAACAACAAGTGCTCCTTCATGCATAAATGTCTACATTGGTCCTCATCTGGCACGAAATGGCCATTATATTTAGAACAGTTTTGAGTTTTCATTTGAATCAAAAAAGGGAAAAACTGCTATGTAATAACATCATTCAACTTTATTACCAAATCTTCGTTCTTATCAATATTCAAACTAAATACCATTCACTTAATAAGAAGAATGCAAAACCAGAGATATAAACAAAATTCCACAGGATCACCGGTCAAAAGTATTTGCTTGTTAAGTAAAAATGCTAATACAACTCATGTATGTTATGACTGCAGCATGGATTGTGATGCCTTCCAAGTTTTTATAAGAGAAGCTAATTGCAAGATAGTTATGGCATAAATTATAATTCTAAACCTTCATACATTTCATCTAAGATTTCCAAATTCTAACCCAATTTCCTAACTTGATTTCAATTACTGGTCACTTTACAGCTTCAGATTCATTTTGTTAACAAGAGCTAAACAATGTAAAAGAATTTGGAGGCTCTATACCTTCAACAGTTTTGAATTGTCGTCCTTTGATTTCTTTAAGTCAACCAATACCTTAAACCAACACCGGGAACCCGAACCTGTTGGTGAAATTCTATATCCAATTTAACATAAGCCTTCCAGTTAAATACAATCATCATCAACATTAAGTAACAAAGAAGGAATTAACTTTTAAGCATGCATAAATTGTTCTTTTCTTTTCCTCTAAAATCAATCCAACAGTTAAGCTACATTATCCAATAACAAATACATAAAATCACAATAAGGTTATGTTGGAGTAGCAGTTGTAAAAGAAGTAGCAAGGAAGATGAAAACAAAGTCTCTGATGGCTATGTCAAGGACCAGATTTCTCCTCTTCGTGGCCATGGTCGTGTCCAATGCCATAACCGCAACCGTGGTGGTGAGTGTGAGGCTCGTCGTAGGCAGATGCAGAGAACCCAGAAACAAAGCTCAAATATGAACAAAGCCCGACAACTAAAATAGCTACCAAGACCAATCAAACAGCAGGACACACGAATGAAATAAAAAATCAAGAGGCACAAAAAATCAATAAATAATTAATTGAACAAAATTCGTAGAAAGAAACTCCAGGAAACTAAAAGGCACACCAGAATCGGGACTATAGAACTTGAAATCGAGATTACAAAGCTAGAAATCGAGATTCCAACCTGAGAGAGACCAATCCAAATCAAGCTCGCTGAGAGAGAGAGTGTGTAAGAAGGCTGATAGTTTGAGAGATCGTGAGAATATAGGCAAAGAGACGGAGAGATAGAGTTTTGTTTTGGGGGGGGGGGGGGGGAGGGAGAGGGAGAGAGAGAGAGAGAGAGAGAGAGAGAATTTGAGAGGCAGTCACGAACTTTACTAAAAAAATTGAAAATGGTGGAATTGTTCATTTGAAATTAAGGCGCTTAAGACCATCTTCAATCCTTGGGCTAAAAACCAAATTTTTTAGCCCAGAAACATCTTTTCTACTCCAACCTTTCTACCCTAAAATTTTAGCCTGGAATTATTAAAGAATGAAATTAGTCTAAATTTTTTTCTTAAATCAATTTAAAAAAAAAAATATGTAGATTATTGTAAATTAATTTTATGAACATTTTTATCTAAAAAAATTTAAATTCCGATAAACATTTCGCATTTAGCCCTGGGGGAAAGCTGGGGGGTATTTGGCCCAGAAATAGCATTTGGCATTTAGCCTAAAATTTTAGCATGGGTTGGAGAGTGTTTGGGGGGGTAATTTGGCTTTTAGCCCAGGGTTGGAGATGGTCTAATAGGGGAAAAAAAAGGGTGCTAAAATAAAAATAAAAAATTTTGGGAAGGTGTCTATCAAATGTCTCTTGACGTCGAGACGTGTTTGCGACATTACTTAGAGCTAGGGTGGGCACCTGAATTCGAAAATCAAAACCGAAACACGAATCAAATTGAACCGCATCAAATGGTTTGGTTTACTTTTGTGCTGTTTTATTTTTCGCTTTACTGCCTGCGCATTTGAACACGGATCAAGCACATCAACGACGGCATATCTCACTGCCAAAGGTATTATCCGACTGCCTATTTCCATTGATATGCATCTGTTACAATATTAACTCCAGTTACACAGAAAACCCGTAACTATTATGCACCATTAGTTCACCTCATGCTCAATTTACTTCAAATTAATGTGGGTTTAATAGTATTTGTAGTCCAATTATCTAATCTGGGCTTAATATTATAGATTGGTATAATCCAATATAACCGGGTACATGAGTTTTGGTAGACATGCATTATAATGTTTTTTGTCAGTTCGTTGAATTATGCTAGGAATACCAACTATTTAGACTTAAGTTCATAAACCATATGATGTGGTTGTAATTGAAGCCATGCTTGATTGAATTTTAATATTGTATGCATGCTTGAACAATGCAGTAATAGAAGACATGAAAATGAAAAAGATTAATTATGTAATTGTGTATTAATTCACGGCATTTTTAATTGTGTAATTGTGTTGAAAGGATTAATTTTTTGGACTGTATCAAAACAAAACTAAAGTTGCCTTTAATAGAGTATCTATTTTTTTTTCTTGACATGCCGTTTATTGAAGGAAAAGATTAATTATGCATTTCACAAAATTAATTTCCTAGATATTATAGGAAATTAGTTGTAGCTGGACAAATATGGGTGTATTAAAAATTAATGGCATTTGGTGTAATTTCATATCCAATACAGGATCTGTTTGGCGCCATAGGAAGCATTTTAATCAGATTCTAACACACATAAATGTTTAATCTAAGAAACAAATAGGACTAATCTACTTTTGTTTGTTTTTCAAAAAAAAAAAAAAAATCTACTTTTGTTTGAATTTGTTACATCCTAAATTAAAATTAATGGAGAGGGGGTGATTCTGTGATTCCTAGCTTTTCGTTCTACAAACTGACTTTGTACAATATTGCTTGAGTATTGTTCCTTAATTCCCACCTCAAATGAATGGTTAATAATAAATTTCACTTTGATGAGAGAATGAATCTTGAATGTGCTTATAAGTATTTGGATACTTGTTATATAGCCAATTGGTTTTATGGTGGAAACTCAACTTTCTTTATGATATCAGAATATGTTGTTCCACGTATGAAGCCAACGGCCACATGTGCTATACGTCACCCGAGTTATGTTGTCTATGTGTTAAACTTGAAATTTAGTCACACTTGAAGAAGCGTGTTGATAATGAATTTCACAATTATGAGAGGTGGGACCTTTCACATTCTTATAAGTAGTTGAATTGCTTTTTATATTTAAGATTATGATAGAACCCCAATGTTAGATCCCACATCGCCCAGAGAGTGGATCCTCTATGCTTTATATGTACATGCTCATCTCCATATAGCACGAGGCTTTTTGGGAGCTCACTGGTTTAGGATTCCTTAGGAACTCCGAAGTTAAGTGAGATCGCAACGAGAGCAATCCCAGGATGGGTGACCCCACTGGGAAGTTCTTGTGTGAGTTCCCATAAACAAAACCGTGAGAGCATAGTCGGGGCCCAAAGCAGACAATATCGTGTTACGACGGAATTGAGTTCGGGTCGGGATGTGACAATTTGGTATCAGAGCCAATCCCTGGACGGAAACGACGGAATCGAGTTCGGGTCGGGATGTGACAATTTGGTATCAGAGCCAATCCCTTGACGGAAATGTGCCGACGAGGACGTCGGGCCCCTAAGAGGGGTGGATTGTTAGATCCCACATCGCCCAAGGGAGTGGATCCTCTATGCCTTATATGTACATGCTCACCTCCATATAGCATGAGGTTTTTTGGGAGCTTACTGACTTCGGAAGTTAAGCGAGAGTAATCCCAAGATGGGTGACTCATTGAGAAGTTCTCGTGTGAGTTTCCAAAAACAAAACTGCGAGGGTGTGGTCGATGTCCAAAACGGACAATATTATGTTACGGCGAAATCGAGCCCTGAATGTGGTGGAGTCAGGGTCGGGATGTGACACCCAACTTCTTAAAGAATCCACCGTTGAAGAACACTGGCTTCCAGAATTATTTTGAAGCTTTCAGTCCAACAAATCTGAGTACGTGCTCACTGTTGAGGGTGAAAGTTTGGCAATAGCCAGCCCACATGTAATAAACCTATCATTTGATTGACCTCTTCAATCCGATCTGCGTGTCGGTGAAAGGAAAGGTTTCAAATTGCTTGTGTTAACTATATCATGTAACAGTCCTTTTAACTTACATGACAGAATAAAGTAAAAGTGGAATACGGAGGAATAGAGTTTAAGATTACTTAAAAAAATTTAAAATAACAAAAAAATGAAATATTGAGATTTAATTTTTAAAATTGTGAATTTTCTAGATTTCTATATTTATTAATCCAAAGAAAGGACTTGTTGCATTTGCATGTTAATTTATAAATTAACATAGAATTTAAACTTGTGAATGGAAGGTTTCGAATTCCATTTTTTTTCCACTCGAAAATTCTAGATTTCTATACTTATGAATTCAAAGAAATGACTTGTTGCATGTTAATTTGTAAATTAACATAGAATATAAACTTGTGAATGAAAGGTTTCCAATTCTAATTTTTTTTTCCACTCGAAAATTCTAGATTTCTATGTTTATGCTTAAAAAAAAAAAAGAACTTGATACATGTTAATTTATAAATTGAACTTTAACCAAATTTCAAGTTTACGTTCCTCATCGAAACATAATGTAATAGAATTTTTATAAAATCCTAAAGAAAATACCACGTTAACAAGCGTTAATAAAAGTAAAGAATTATATCAATTTCACCAACTTTTGCAGGAAAATACATCGTCATTGTTCAAGTCGAAACGCGTCGTTTCAAGCGACCACATATCATCATATTTCAGTCGCTTAAGCCCCAGGTTAAACCCTTCTCTCTCTCCCCCTCTCCGAATGAAGCATTCTCGGTTGAGCTCGCTGTTCAATTTCTCATCTCGTTTCGGTTTCCGAAACTCACCGGGCGTTTCGCTTTACTCGACGACGACGTATCGCCCTCACAGAGAGCCCTCGAGAGGCACACTCAACGACCTCTACCGTCGGATTTCCCGCGCCGGAGATCATACAGCCCCCATTTCCCCGATTCTCGACCAGTGGATCGAAGAAGGCCGAACAGCACCCAAAGGTGCATTCGTCACCATCATCAAGGAGCTCAGGCAGTACAAGCAATACAAGCACGCTCTCGAGGTACTATGTTCTGTTTGGTTCTCTGGGAAATGTGGAAATGAAATTAATTTAGGGTTTCTTATTCCGTAATTTTTTTTTACTCAATATACTGAGATTATATTGAAATCAGTGAAATTGAACTGTCAATGGCTTGAAATTATGCTAATTGAGTAGCTTAATTGTGTTCCTATCAGCATTTGAATGCATATAGAGCTTCATTGCTTCATTTTTGTGTGTTTATATTGTATTTATATGTGTGTGTGTGTATGTATATGTGTGTGTGTGTGTATATATATAGATATATGTAGGAGAAGCTTTATAAGAGGATCCCGCTCCATGGAGCGGAATAGGATAGTGCCCTCATAATGAACATGTCATGACCATGTATGACTGTTCATAGTTTCGTGTTTTTGCCCCCACAATATAGGGGTGCTATATGGACAATACATAGTTATGAAACAGTCAATACGAGGGCACTGTCATATATCTCTCCAACAGTGAAGTTGCATCTCCTTAAGAAGGGGATCCGATGTTCAGTCTTTCTACGGAATATCAACAACATACCAACAATTTTAAGCTTGCAGTATTGACAATTTCAATAATATCGATGGCATGTCTGCATTTAAAGAAAATGCAGTTAACTGCAACGTAAAAAAATTCTATGTGCGTGTGCGCATGTGTATTGGAGTCATAGCTTCTGAACTCAATAAATGGGAGTGGTTTAACAGTAGTTTAGATGCCAATTCTGATCACGATGCTTTAATATTCAAATAAGTCACCCAAGTAGCAAATCTTTCATCTGTTGCATCTACTTGATATTTGGATTTCTGGAGAAAGATTGTCTAGCTTAGTGAGTTAGCATCAACCCATCTTCTTAATATTAGTTTAGATCCCAATTCTGATAACAATGCTTTAATATTCAAAAGAAGTGTCTAGTCTAGTGAGTTAGCAAGTATCAACCCATCTTCGGAAATTTGATCTCGTTTATTTATTCTCAGATATCAATGTGGTTGTCTGACAAAAGGTACTTTGAGCTTACAATTGCTGATGTTGCCATCCGACTTGATTTGATTGCAAAAGTTCACGGAATAGAACAAGCTGAGGATTACTTTAACAACATTCCTAAAAATTTGAAAGTTCTTGAGGTTTACTGTGCTCTCCTGAACAGCTATGCTCGTGCAAAACTTGTGGAAAAGGCTGAGGACATCATGCAGAAGATGAGGGAATTGGGGTTTGCTAGGACATCGTTGTCCTACAACAATTTGCTCAATTTGTATCATCAGACTGGAAACACTGATAAATTCAATGTTCTAATGAGTGACATGAAAGAGAAGGGCATTCTTCATGACAAGTTCACATATTGTATCCAGATCTCTGCATATGCAGCTGCTTCCGATCTTGAGGGAATTGACAAGGTTATGGCAGAGTGGGAGTCCGATCCCAAGGTTCTTATGGATTGGGATAGTTATTCCAACGTGGCAATTTCTTATAAGAAAGCAGGAAATGTGGAAAAGGCTTTGGCAATGCTAGAGAGGTCTGAGAAACTGATGTCAAGTTCTAAAAGAAAGAGGGGAGCATATGAGTACCTTATGACACAATATGCAGCACTAGGGCAGAAAGATAGGGTTATGAGACTCTGGGAACTATACAAGAAGCACATGAAAATATACAATAGGGGTTACATAAGTATAATGACCTCTGTGTTGAAGATTGGCGATATTGAAAGTGCCGAGAAGATCTATGACGAATGGGAATCCAGCAATTTATCTTTCGACATTTGTATCCCAAATTTCTTGATTGGTGCTTATACCAGAAAGGGCCTAGTTGACAAGGCTCTAGTTGACAAGGCCGAATCCATTGTTAACAGGGTAATACAAAAGGGAGAGAAACCGGATGCAAGGTCTTGGCATTATTTGGCAAGGGGATATCTTGATCATGATCAAATTGAGAAGACAGTTGAGTTGACGAGGAAAGCACTTTCAGTTGAGGGGTCACGGTGGACACCAGATGGGCATGTTGTCGCCGCCTGTATGGAATATATGAAACAGAAAGCGGATGTGGAAGGAGCTGAAGAATTTATAAGACTACTCGGGGAGAAGTGTAGTTTCCCCATAAGTATTCAGGAGAAATTGTTAGATTACATTAATAATGAGGATTCAGTCACTGTAGAAATAGGTGACCTCGAATGGGATCGTCGGAATGGAGTTCTGAAAGAAGCGGATTTAGGTTCCAACTAACCGAATCTGTCAGATACGTATTTCAAAAAACTCCTGAAATTGTGGGTAGCGAATGCAAGTCAACTTCAGGGAGTTGTAAAGATTCTCTACCGATTTAAGGTATTACTTTTGTTCTGAACATTAAGTTTGCTGCAATTTGAATGAACTTTTTCTTCATTCCTAAATTGTTTGTCCTTTTAAGACGGTTGCCAATTTTTATCATCTGCATTGGTTTTAGAAAGTAGGAACTATCAGTGTGAGGAGCTTGTAGCTCAAATGGGTAAGAGCGTTTACGAGGTCGAGGGTTTTTGTTTGAATCCCTCTCTAATGTATCTTATTTTACAAAATAAAGTAGAGCTGCTTAGAAAAGATTTGATGAACTGATAAGGATTAAAAAGCAGACAACTCAAACCCAATTCATATTGAAAATTGACTGCTGATGAAGATTTTTTTTATCTGACAAAGTGCTGTTATACACTACAGAGAGGGTATTAGTGTAGGGCCAACTGCTTCATTGACTTCTACAACTATCGATCCCGATCTAACAAAGTAATTGAGTTCAAACAACATAATGTTCCTTAGCGGGCAAAATCTTTTCCCCAACACTCAAAAACTAAAATTTTAATTTATATTAAAATCTCGCTACATTTTGTCCTTTGTTGGTATAATTTTATTTTTTTCAACAAAAACTAATTAAATTTTTAGTTTGTGTGAATGCACGTAGCATGAGTAAAGTGAAAATGTTAAATGAGACGGTAAGCAGTTGTTTTTTTTTTTTTTTTTTTTTGGGGGGTGGGGGTGGGTGGGTGTTGAATGAGAAGGCAAGCAGTCCCTTCAACGTATCCTTTTTTTTTGGCCAAAACGTCGGTGTGATATTTTGGATGTGGGAATTTTGGGATTTTAGGTTTGAAAGTGGGAATTTGGGATTGCTTCCCACCCCCAAATAAATAAGATTGCAGTGGGCTGAGGGACCCACGTGAGATCAGGAACAGCAGGGCAGCCCATGTGGAGACAATTCCATGCGGGCTGGCACTAATCAGCTGACTTGGGGGGGGTGTGGTATTGACTGCAGGCGAGTGCACTAGCAACACGGTTTCTATTGCCTAGATTGACGTGTCATTGACATCCAATGGTTGTTGCGCTTTTTGGGTTTTGATCTAGTGTGGTGCGCCTAGTTACATCATTTTTAAATCCAATGACTCAAATTTGATTTAATCTACTTTAATGATAATATAAAATATCCAATGGCTCAAATTTAAATCCAACAGTCAAAATAATAATATTAATTAATTCAAATTAGATCCGACACCGAACCTCTATAAATACACATCCATTTGTTTACAAATCCATTAAAAAAAAATTCATTTTTCTCACCAAGATTTTTTGTTTGTTTGGAATTTGAATTTTATACACCAAAATGTTCGTAAAAATAAAGCAAGATAGATTATGCAAAATCTAATTCCAAAATTATTGGCAAATATAAAATCAACGAGACATAAAAAAGTTCAATAAATTATAAAATTGGCAGTGGAAATTCTAGGTCCCTTCCCGTTGGAGAAAAAAATTGCCTAACCTCATTCGTATAGTGAATAGAGAAAAATATAGGGTTAAATTCTGGAATTTTAGCCTATCAAGTTGGAGATAGCCTTATATACTCTTGATTCTTAAGCAATTTAAAAAAAAAATCCTATTTTTATAAACTAATTACTTAGGATTGCAGAAATGAATAATAATTTTTCCCTTTGCTTCCTATTCACGGCACCTTTCCTAGTCCGATGGTGTAAATACCAAATAGCCTTGTTACATCACAAAAATTGACCTTTTATTCACAATTAAGCACATAAAGTCATCAAAGAAGAAAAGACACATTCATGGGCTTCTTAAACACCAATTTTAATCTAATTAGAGAAATGGTCCATCAACTTAATCTAATTAGAAAAATAGTCCTTCAACTTTAACTCAATTAAAGCAAGATCCCTCAACCATAACCATTTTGTCGAAAGTTCTAACGAGATTGACGAAAATGACTAGATTTTTAGTCAACATGCCAAATCTCCAATTAGGAGAGTTGAAGGGCTATTATTACAATTTTTTCTATTCATTATGTACTCATGATTTCTTAAAACAATTTTTCAAAAAAAAAACAAAAATCCTATTTTTATAAACTAATTACTTAAAATCGCAAAAATGAAATGGGCACAAAATAGTTTTGGCCTTTGCTTTCTAATCACGGCACCTTTCGCAAAGGTGACTTTTTATTCACAACTCGGCAGATAAAAATCGTGAAAGAAAAAGAAAAAGAAGAAAAGACACATTCATGGGCTTCTGAAAAATCAACATAAATTATCAAGTGCCCACTCAAGTGGGCCCATCCCACATTCTGTACGTCACAACGCTTTTCTCGTTGGGAGTTCAGACGGAGGAGGAGCGTCTGTTTTGTAAACGGGCATTTTAAGGCATACTAGTGGGGCCCACTACCGCCGACAGTGGCTCTTATCTTTTTGCAAAGCGGCCGTCCAACCACCCCGTTTTCTGCATTTCAAGTCAACAGTTTCCGACCAAAACCAAAATACAAGAAAATTGTGCTCAGCGTGAAACTACCGTTATACCCTTCTCCACCTTTCAGTTTTTCCTACTCCTTTGTGGGGGTGTATTCTCTTCGTTTAATACAAGTGATGTAACTAGTTTAATTTATAACAAGGAGAAGAGGGGAAGATTTGGACCTGAAACACAGTGAGTTAAAAAAGAAAGTCTTAATTGTCAAGGTAATCTACCATTTAGTTTCAAATTAAACGAATATTTTTTACATATCTAACCATTTATATTATAACACTTGGAGTCGAGCCGTGTTCTCAGTATACTGAAAAATTTATCATTTGGTAGGTGGCTCTTCTACCTCATTAAAATGGGAAAGGTACAATAAATATTCGATCCTACTAACCATCTATCCAACTAATTGAAAAGATAGTTGCTCACCCGTCACGCCCATGCAATACGTGAAAGAGAAAGTAGGTATATAGCACGTCTAGTGTCACAAACGTTCTCTTAATCAACCGGCGATCAATGAATATATGATTTTCAGTATTGAATCTAATATCTAGAGTGGAGAATAAATAAAAATATTTTTAATGCATTAATCTCAACTATTGATATCAAATCCAATAGCCGATGATCATGAATCTTGTTGTTCTTCCCATCCAAATAAATTACAAGAATGGAGGGTATTTCTGTCAGAAAAGCAAAATATGTGATCTAAATAAACAAGTGAGTGCCATATGTAGACTTCTCATGTCACAAGCTTCATAATTCAATTAAAAAAAGGCCAATAACTTAGCACACAAAAACAAAAGAAAATAATTCATAAAAAGAAATAAAAAATAAAAAAGGAAGGAAAATAGGACCCAAACCGTACCTGTGAGTGCATGTCAGCGTCAGACTATTGTCTCAGCCTTATTCGAAATATTAATCATCTGCCAAACAAGCAGAAAACCAAAACTAAGAACTCCCAAAGAATCTCTGCTTCTTTGGCTTCCAAGAATCCCATTCCTCTCCTTTCCTTTCCTTTCCAATCCGATGCAATCTTTCCATCCAAAAACAAAGCATGGGACAAGAGGGAATTGCTTTCCTCTATGAGCTTTGAATTCCCCACCTCAAGGGGAGGACATAGTCCAACTTGGATATTGTCTTTGCTTCTGGTTTTCCTTTCAATATGGTCCAAAGAAAGGTGCCAAACAAGCTTGGAATCCAAGCTGATCATGATAAATTCGAGAAGCGGTTATCGAACCTGAAGACTTCTTCTCAGTTCCAAGATGGGAAACACAGAGGAGCTGATTTGAAGAAGATGATGAAGAAATCTAGATCAATCAAGCTTTCAGATGTTGAGAGCTTGAGATCATCACCTTTGGGGAAGAACTCATCTCAGCCAGGAAAGCCGCCACCGCCGGCTCTCAATGTTCCAAACACTGCGGCTTCCCCTCAGAAGCAGCCCCTGGCCAAAACAACTTATGGCTCGCCAAACTACATGAAGCCCACCAGCTGTTCTCATGCAAGGAAGGAGCAGTCACAGGTTAGTCTTCGAAGTTCTCCGCCAATATTTTCAGATAGTAAGAACCAGAACCAAAAAAATTCGGGCAGTTCAAAGCTTAGCTCTGCTTCTAGTAAACCTGAAAGAAGTTTAGCAAGGACATCTAGTTTGAAGCTTGCGAGAACTTTAATAAGGTCCCCTAGTTTTAAGCCGGCAAGAGCTCCGGCGAGAAAATCTTCCAGGGTTGCTCTTTGTGCAGATGTTAATGTTCAGAGAGCAACTTGTTCTTCAACACTGAAGGATACAAAGTTTCCGGATTATCTGATGATTAGTCCTGGGGGAACTGAAGCTGAGGGAACTTCAGTCATGGAGGTTTGCCCGTATACGTACTGTTCCCTTAATGGACATCGTCATTCACCTGTGCCACCATTGAAGAGTTTCTTGTCTGCGAGAAGACGTTCATTGAAGACCCAGAAGATGATGAAATTGCAAGCTCAAAGTCCACGTGGAGCAAAGCGATGTAATGATGGAGTAAAAGAAATTGATTTCCAGCAGATGTTTGATGAGAATGACAAAACAGCTGAGAAAGAAGCTGATTTGGATTTCTTTGTTGAAATCTATGCTACAAACAAGGAAGATGACACCGAGGCAATTGGAAGGAAAGCCGGAGCTGATTTTGTAGGAGAACAAGATGGTTACGAGGGTCCTGTGTTTCCAAATTCTGCAAGTGATGAAACAGAAACAGTAGATTATGCCAACAACCTAGTTGTGGAGAACCTGTCGGATAGATCACAGCATTCTGAGAGTGAATCTGAGGCAGAAAGCTTTCGCGAATTTCCTGAAGATCGAAAAGAAGAAGCAAATGAAGACTACGGATCACAGTCCGATCAAGAGGAAAATTCCACTGGAAGCTGCTCGAACGAGAGCAACTCTGAAGACCTTTCAAGCACTGAAATGGAGGATGCAACGGGAGCCCTGATAAAGGGAATTCAGAAACAGATCAAAACGTTCCAAGTGGTGACTTTGGCTTAGAACCCAAACTCCCTACTGTGGTGTCTGAAAATCAAATGGAAGCAATAGAGCAAATTGGTGATGTGAAACCATCACCGGAGATTCAGCTTTCTGATTTGGTGCACGATGCTTCTGAAGCTGATGAAGATGCTGTCAAGGTTGACGATTATGAAAATTACATGAAGACTGAACCTCTCCAGCTTAATGACATTGCTGAAGATGGTAACCTGTCCAATGGGAAGTACAAGAAGCCTATAACTTCAAGTTCCAATGAATCTGAGGATCAGAGTGATTTAAGGCTGAAAAAATCAGGTATCTCCAATAGCAACACAGGACAACCTGACAATGTGGAAGTGAAAAACAATTCAGAGCCAGAAGCCACAAAAAAATTCAACACGGCCAATAATAGCATTAGCCCTGGGATGAAGAGAAAAATTTCCGAGGCAGCAAGCAACTTCGACCAAGAGCTTCCCAACACCTACAACTACTGGAAAAGAATCAAATGCAAGAGACTTAGCATGGATGAGGAGGAGCAAAGGAAGTTCAATCCAAGAGAACCAAATTACCTACCTTTGGTTCCTGACCCCGAAGCAGAAAAGGTTGACCTCAGGCATCAGATTATTGATGAAAAGAAAAATGCAGATGAATGGATGCTTGACTTTGCACTCCAGCAGGCTGTCACGAAACTTGCTCCAGCAAGGAAGAAGAAGGTTGCACTGCTTGTTGCAGCTTTTGAAACGGTCATGCCAGCTCCCAAAGTGGAAAAACATCTCAGGCATACCTCCGCAGCCTTCAGTCATGCAAGACCTATGCAAGCTTGTAGTTGATGATAGTTATTGAGGTGAATATATGATCGCTATCTCCAAACCTTCAGATATTAATTCTAATAGCTGTTCGTGAGCTCATATTGTTAGTATCAAATAACAAAGGGAACCCATTCACATATTGTTGTGCAGGTGAAAAGTCTGCAATATTGATATTAAGTTACTGAAGCAAAAGCACAAGAACATAGAAGAGCTACATTTCCAGCAGAACACGACTCACCGTTTCTTGGATCCTGTCAGAACTTCTGAAGAGGAAGGAGGCAGCTTCATGCAGTGACGATTCTTGAGTAGTTTCTCCTAGCTCAGTGGATGTAGTGCTAGTGTACTTTGATTAATAATAATATGTAATGGCAGATTAATGTTATATGTTGTGAGTTGCTACCATCTTTCCTTTGCTGTTGTACGAGGCACTGGTCTCCAAAACAATATATATGGTTGTTTGCTTAATATGCATGTCAACTGCCAACTGACTGCCATACTCACATTCAAAACGTCATTCTAGCAACACTAAAGGTACAACTAATTTAAAGCAGCTCGTGCATGCATACGGGGCTTCTAGCTCAAGCGGTTAGGAGCATTTAGCTCCACACTCGAGTTCCTGTATTCAATTCCTACTCTCCCAATATCACTTGTATCAGGGAAAACAAAAGTTGCTCATGCATGCTACAATAACTTACAGTTATTCACATGATACTTATATCTACAACGTCTTACCATCGCATTGTAACAAACGAAAACAATTATAATTAAGATTTCCAAGAATATCATATATAAACATAATGAACCCAACTGGAAACACTTCTCAAAATGTATAATTCCTATAACATGGGACTCTAGCAAATAATTCTCAGAACTCGATTCACAAATGTCAAATAATTACTCACAAAATTACAACAACAATCTCGTCTATGGTAGATGTACGTTGACTGCAGGACACTTGACAAGAAGTGACCGGAGTTCTGCAAGGTGATTGCCTAGGCCACTAACATGTGATATTTTCTCTGGCGAACCAACTTCAAGAGAACTAGTAGTATCAGAGATTTCACTCTGTTCTCTATCTTTTTTCGCAATCATATCATCGTACAAATACCCGAGGGCATCTTTCGTTGAAATAGAATGCACAGATTCAAACAATCTTTGAAATCCATTTCTTTGTTCTTCTGTTTCAATCAACTTCTCCCTTAAACCATCTGGAAGGCAAGCCAGCGCACTATGGATGGAAGATACCCCAGAATGGATAGAGAAGAAAACAAAACTAAAGTAAGATATATAGAAATTCCAAACAGTACAAAGATTTATGCAAGCGAGATATTACTACAAAATAATATTTGCTTCTTTATATTACCTAGTAACACCTCTGACAAGACCCCAGTTGTACCCAACAAGGACCGATTTCTTAAAGCCAATATTAAATCCCTCTTGTGAAGAAGCTTCTTTTCCCGCTATTACACCATCACGGTAACCAGTCTACATATCAACAAATTAAGCACATATTAGAGAACTACCTGAATTATGCCCGTAAAACAACTAACTAAACCCACGTAATGACGAAAGTATGTCTGAACTGTCAAACAACCGTATGGTATTGGTTATGTCTCCTCTGCCATTCCCTGCCCAAAGCAGATTGTTCATGCAATTCATCGTCAGAAGCACACCAAGATGCATCTTCATCACATGGCTCAACTCTATCATGGTCTGCAAGAAAACATTAAAAAGATTACTTACTACAGAGAACAGCAAAACCACAGCAGTTATACACTAACGCATTTACTTATCTACGGCTGACTATAAGATGAAATTAACAAATATCATATGTGGATCACCGTTATACGGAAAAAATGGTGCTTTAAACAATTAAAATACCGTGTAGATCACTTTCTATACTGTTCGCACTGGGTGTAGGATCCAATTGTATTTTTTCTAGGCTTAAACTTTCTGAGTAGAGCTCATGAGCAAAACTTCCCTCCATCTGTTACAGCATAAAGCAAACACCAAAATCAAAATTACTATAAGAGCAAAGACTGATGTAACATCGAGCTTCTAAACACTAACTTTAACAGGAAAATGTACAAGAAAATTAGAAGAGGAATGTGTTTTAATGATACAATCCTAGAACATAAAATCCAGAAGACGTAAAGACCATGACCACCGGAAAAAACCAATGCAAACTACATAGCCTCAAGCACAAAGCTAATAAGAGCATAGTATATTCACCAAAAGCTCAAGAACACTACAAGTTCAACCTGATACATATTATGTCCGGTCCCGAAACCTAGGACATGACTTGGTTGTGGATTATGTTACAGGAAAATGGCATCTATTAATACTTTTAGTAGTGTCCCGTCGTTTTAGTTTTCCTTTGATTCCTAAATTTACAGAACCTAAAACAATTCAAGTAACCATGTTCATATCCTCGGCTACAACCGAACCTCCCCTTCCCTCCAAATGCATTTCCCCATCACAGATACTATAATCATATCACATAGAACATACTGGTCCTCAATCCCCATTACTAAAGCCGTACGATTAATATCCATCACTCCAAAGGGACAAATGCCATACACACAACCACAAAGGAAAAAATACCACTCCGTTGGAGCGACACACGGTGCACTCTCGTTGCCATACTTGAATACAACTTCATCAAATTCCATTTGATCAATCCGCAATCGCATGCCAAGCAGAAAAAGAAACATAAAATCCAACATTCCATTCAAATGATTCCATTGAGATAAAACTTTCAATTTCCAAAAGGTTGTAGTAATTGAACTCAAATCATATAAAACACTTGAGAAATTCAACTCTAAACATCTCAATTAACGATTAAAATTAAGATTAATCGTAAAACAATTCAAACAGTTCTAAACAATCGTCAAGATTATATCAAAATAAATCACACCACCATAAAGTTACACAAAGAGAGAGAGGGGAGATGGGAGAAAGAGAGTGAAACTGACCTGGAGAAAAATAAAAAAATGGAGAGGAGGAGAAGCTGCAGAGGTTACAACACTTTGTTAACGCCAACAGGTTTTGGACCATGCGCCTTCGGCTCGTAGAAGAAGATGACTTGAACGCACCGTTTCAGCCTTTAAGAGTGTGCTCCAATAAGATAAAAAGAAAAAATCCAGATGTCAAATAGCCACTGGCTGGAACACCAACTTACGTGGAGTTCCCGGAACCCCGAAATATTTCTCCACCCTCTGAGGAGCCGGAGAAGATTTGTGTAATGGTTGTTGGGCCCTTTATGGGCTTATGACGTGCTATTTATTTTTCGCCCGGCCTCTTGGTGCATCTCCTGTCGCTTCTAATACAAGATTTTTTTTCGATAAACGATAATGTTAGAGGATTAAATTGTAAATGTAACGGTAGGAAAATTGATGTTGGCACTAAAATGCAAAGAAGAAAAGGGAAAAATTGCATTTTACAACCCAAGTTGGTCCATCAACACAAAGATCCCCCCATGGTTTGGCGATCTTAGATTTGACACATTTTATTATGCTCACTTTGTAGAAGGGAAATTTTATTTAGACCCATTTATCCTATTTCTATACCTAATTTATTATTTATTATTTTGAAATTCCAAATGTGCCAAATAATTCTCTTTCTACCTCCAACAAAAAGAAAAAGATAATAATAATAATTTAGCAATAGGTAACTCCAGCCACCTTATTTCTTCAAACCTCAACCACCTAGTTTCTAACCTCCCCAACGCCACCTCCCTTACCACCCACAAAAATTTGGAAATTAGAACATTATTCCTAACAACCCACGATTAAAAAACCCAAAAGAAACATGTCAATATTTTTTTTCTTTTGTTTTTTGGAAAAATTAATGGTATTATTAGCATATGGTCCAACACAATTAGATTTGACACGTCAACAATTTCAGCATAATTTGGACATGTTAGAAGGACTGCATGGAAGAGAGAGATATTGTGTGGCCGGCAAAAGGTCGGCAAAGGGACATTGATGGCTAAGATCTTTGGGGGTTTCATTGTGGGTGATAAGAAGATGGCGGTGGAGGGGGGGGATTGGGGAGGGGTAGAAATTGGGGGTGGTTAGAGTTTGGAGTAATGGCATGGCCCGGGATATCTACTGTTGAAATTTTATATTTTATATTTTTGTTCTTTTTCATTATGGGTGTAGATAGAAAATTGTTGGGCAGATTCAAAATTTCAAGATTAAAAACTATAAGTTGGGTGTAAAAAGATGATAAATGAATTTGAATAAAATTTCCCTTTGCAGAATTGTGTTACTTTAACATTCTGACCACGCTTTCTCTTCTTTGCCTAAACTTGGAAAGCCCCTATCTACCATGCTTTCTCAATCAAGCGTTGGATGCCAGAACAAGAAAGTCAATCATTAGGAGCAATTGCATTCCATACTTACCAACCACAAAAAGTCGAATGTTTTGAGGAATTATATTGCAAACCAATCGCAAAGTAGACCCGTAACAGGCTGGTAAAACCAGGAGAGAATCTCTCTTTGCACCCAATGCATAATCGTCCACCATAAATTGAAATGAAGAAACATAGGTATGATAACAATAAAGATTGCATTACTTTGTGGGCTTTCTTTTCTTTTTTGTTTCCAAAAATGAAGATGAGTATTTACCAAGTTTTATCGAGGAAAATCACCCGACTGTTGCATCTTCCAACATATCGATGTGGTACAATGAGGTTAGTTGGGATTCGCCATGTTCTTCATTGGACTCAAGATCACAAGCATCTTCAACATATCCAGATCGCCTCATCTGTTCAAGGAGCAACTTCAAAACATAATGTATTTCTTTCCTTTGAGGATGCCGTTTGTCTTTCACTAGGAAAACATGCACATGGCCCTGTATTTCAATCCACCTACAACTTGGTTGCTTGATAACTCCTCGTTGCCTCGTCAGCTTCCTTACTCGTACAACATCAGCCCATATCCCGAGCTCAGCATACATATTTGAGAGAAGAACATATGGTCTAGAGTTCTTAGGTTCAATATCTAAGAGTTTCTCCGCCACATACTCCCCTAAGGTAATGTTACGATGAACTTTACAAGCAGCAAGCAAAGACCCCCATATAACAGCATTAGGTTCAATTGGCATGTCCTCTATCAAATTTTTGGCATCATTAAGGCAACCAGCTTGACCGAGCAGATCAACCATACATGTATAATGGTCAGTCAATGGTACCAAACCATGTTCCTCACTCATAAAGTAAAAATACTTTTTTCCTTCATTGATATGTCCCTTTCCTCGATCTGATGCTAACCATTTTTCTAAATATTTCAAGAGCTTCAGTCCCGTAACCATTTTGTGCATACCCCATAATCATGGCATTCCAAGAGACATAATCCCCTTCCAACATGTTTATAAAAACTCGATAGCCATCTTCAACAGATCCGCATTTCATATATATGTCTATTAGAGAATTTTCGACAAAAATATCAGGCTCTTCACCGGCCTTG